TACTCCGTTTCACTTACATTAAACTAAGATATTCCGCTAAAATTAGATTTTTTTGCAAGCGTATTTATAAAGATGTTTTTACATTTATGAGCTTCTTTCCCCACACCGCTAGCCATCTTTTCTTTTCTTGTTGTGTCTTGCAATGCGTTGTGGGAATTTTCTTCTTTCACTCGGTTTTGAGTCAGCATCTGAAAAATCTCCGTTTCGAGGGCTATCTTGAGGGCTGAACACCACTACCTCTCGCTGCTAAAAAGAAATGGGACAACACTGCCCTACGCGGGTATGCGCAAAACGGAGGGGTAGGGCTAAGTGGGGGTATTGGGATTGAGCCTAAAACTAAAATACAAACTATTTATATAAATGATGTTATTAGTTTTATTGGAGATTCATCTATTCCTCTTTATGCTGATGATAGTCTGTTATGCCTCAATCTTGTTACAGTATTTACAGCACTTAAAGATGTTTTTTTTTATGGTCCAACAGACTTTCTCTACTCTTCACCTCGCATTAAATGCAATGAAGACTAAGGTCATGTGGTTTTGTCCCTCCCCCCCAAGCCCATAAATTTACTGCTGTTGATGGGATTCTTCTAAACTGTGTCACAAAGTACAAATACCTGCATATCTGGCTAGATAGCTCTCTGTCTTTTTCATATCATATCGACTGTTTACAGTCCAAAGTTAAACTCAGAATGGTTTTTTTGTATAGAATTCATTGTACTAGTTCAGCAAAACTGGCACTTCTTAAAATAACCATTCTTCCTATACATTGGTTCATGTTCACGTATAGAACTCTAGGTTTGTCTTTTCTGTATTTGGGTCACCTGCTGCAAAAATCATCTGTTACTTACAGTACCCATACTGACAGGCCCATGTCATTAAAAGTCCCCAAAGCAAACACAAAGTTTGGTTTGTCATCATTCCACACTGCTGCCGCCAGAGACTGGAACGATTCGCAAAAACCATTGAAATTAGACATATTTTTGCTGTTGCTAGCTCTTATTAAAGACACTCTCATAGGTATCTGTAGTCGTTTCAGATCTGAATAATTAGTGATGAAAATATTGTCTGTTTATATTGTATTTTGTATTTGTATTATTGTGTTTTTATTATTTGTTTATGTATCGTTGTCTGTTTGGCTTTTACCAGGCCGTCAATGCAAATAAGAAATTGCTCTTAGTGACTTGCCTGGAGAAAAATTAAGATTAAACAAAACATACTAAGCAAACGGCTCTGATGCTTCATCGACAGTGGTATTTTAAAAAGCCGTTTGAAGTTTATCTCCATCATTTCTGGTTGTATTTTATTCTCCCCCCCCCCATACACATACACGCAAAGATTTGACCCCCACCACCCCCCTTTGAGTATTTTTACTAGACTGCTGCATATCCTTGATGATTACCGAAACTGTACTGGAGAAATGGGACTGAATGGATACTCAAGGATTAAGCTGTTTAGAAAGTAGACAAGATGCTGAAAGAATAAAAGAATAAGTTCCTTTTAATCCTAAGTGTTAATGTCTCCCCCTTGTGGCCTCCATAGGTTGTGACAACGTCATCATGATCTGGAACGTGGGTACGGGTGAGGCTCTGATCACCCTGGAGGACATGCACCCCGACGTCATCTTCAGCGCCTGCTGGAACCGCAATGGCAGCCTGATATGCACAGCCTGCAAGGACAAGAAGGTGCGGGTCATCAACCCACGCAAGGAGGAGATCGTCGCGGTGAGTCCCCTGGGCTGTTCTGCCAGCAGATGGTGCCTGGTTGCTTATTCAGTATTGTAGAAGGTAAACGTGTGTTATTTTGTCACAGTTTCATCCTACTTATCCTGTCCCCTCTATGCTGCCCCCTGTTGATGCCACCTCTTGCTGCAGGAGAAGGACAAGGCCCACGAAGGAGCAAGACCCATGAGAGCCATCTTCCTGGCAGATGGCAACATCTTCACCACAGGCTTCAGCCGCATGAGCGAACGCCAACTGGGTCTCTGGAACCCGGTGAGTCTCCCAGGGAACTCAAAGCCCTATGATCATAGTGCCACCCCATTCATTCACACGCATTTATACTTAAAATATATTTCCAGTCCCAAGTTCTCACCCTGATATACTCCATCCTTCCATCTGTCTATTTTCCATCGCTACTAATCCAGTTTGGAGTTCTGACGGTGAGTAGTGTTGGCAATACTAATGTATTGACTTTCCACAGGAAAACATGGATGAACCCATCAGCGTCCATGAGATGGATACAAGCAACGGTGTCCTGCTCCCTTTTTACGATCCTGACACCAATTTGGTCTACCTGTGTGGGAAGGTCAGTTTACCACGCCCCTTAGTTATGGTCCTATTAGGAAGCTTTCTGCAGGAACGCCCAAGTAATTGTTTCATCTACAAAATTATTTATTGAGGTCTTGCCGGAGTGCAGAAGTTAGTAAACTTGGCATGAACAGGCTTCTGTATGCACATCTGTAATTCCTTGCATTGAACAATCTCACAGTGTTTTGAGGTGTAATTTCTGTTTTTCTCCAATTTGAGAAACTTGTACATTGATGATAATGCCTGTTACTTATTAGGTAATGCACTTTTTTGTTAGACATTCCCAACCTGAATGCAAGTGGAAAATGTTTATAGAAATAGTTCTAGAAAGATCACCCGTAGATGTAATTAAATAAGATACCACTTATGAAAGGGATCCCATGTCCATTTGACCGTAATCTTAAACTGGCCCTTTTCCTTTCGTTGCCAAGGGTGACAGCAGCATCCGCTATTTTGAGATCACAGATGAGGCCCCCTACGTTCATTATCTCAACACGTTCTCCACCAAGGAGCCACAGAGAGGTATGGGTTATATGCCCAAGCGAGGACTGGATGTCAACAAGTGTGAGATCGCAAGGTGAGCATCCGGACTCTGTGGACCGCAGCCTGTCACACATTGATGGTCTCTGATCGCTACATTCATACCCACCCACGAACCTCGAGGGGCAGAGGATCTCTGTAAATGGTATTTGTAGAATATTAAAAACAACATAACTGTTCTTTTGTGTCGCAGTTCAGCTAATCTAATGTAGTTCTGCTTTAGTTACATTTCAATCTCTGACCGTGAGAATTCTTGCATTATTTTGTGGTACAATATTAAGTATTTGCTTCCTGCAGATATATACAGTAGTCACATTCTTTCCAAACTCTACTGAACTTGAACATGACCATTTTAAATTCTAAAAATAGACTGGCAGCTGACTCAAACATTATTCCATTACATGCTTCTGTCCACTAGATGGCGGTACAAATCTTATTGGGTTTTTATCTCGTAATGAACACATCTAATAAAATGGTTTCATGAACCATTGTGGCCGTTAATAATATTAAGTTTCAGAAATATTTATTATTTTAGCTTGAGATATACACTATGTTCCTGAGTTTGGTTGTACGAATCTGTTTGTTTTTGTAGGTTTTATAAACTTCATGAAAGAAAATGTGAACCAATTATCATGACTGTGCCAAGAAAGGTAGGTCTTGGTTTTGGTTTTAGTTTAATAATATATATTTTTTTAATGTTACATATTTGTGAAAATGGAGTCTGTGCGTTTTGTTCAAAGCCACATTGACAGTCCTCTTAATTGAAACAATGCTGATCATATTGTACAGTGTACATCAGTGCTAAAAGTTGAGTCTGGGGGGCTCTGGCTAGGCTCTCGTCCCATGACATCCCTGTGTGTGCTGCTCCCCAGTCGGACCTGTTCCAGGATGACCTGTACCCTGACACGGCTGGGCCAGACTGCGCCCTGGAAGCTGAGGAGTGGTTTGAGGGCAAGAACGGTGACCCGATCCTCATCTCCCTCAAGCATGGTTACATTCCCACCAAAAACCGTGACCTGAAGGTGGTCAAGAAGAACGTCCTGGACGGCAAGCAGAGCAGGAACGTGGAGAACACGAGTCCCGGCCATAAGACACCCTCTCCAGCCCCATCGATTGTGAGTGTCGGACCTTGCTGGAGTTGTGGGCTGTCCTAGGCTGTGCAGGTGTTTGAGGAGTGTGCACGATCACCCAGATTGGGTGTGTCTACATCGCTGACCTAACCTTGGGCATCAGAATTATCGATATACTATTTATAGATCAAATGCAGATTCTTGTTAAAATTTCCCATAAGGTCAACAAACAGCTGATAGTCTTCTGTCGCCTCTTTACAAACCCTGACAATCTCAAATGCCCATGAAATCAGATTTCCAAAACACCTCAGTTCTGCTTGGTGTCTGTTGTGCAAAACCATGTTGAAATACTGGTTACAGACTTGTCCTGTCCTTGTTTTTTCACTGGGTTTAAAACTCATGTCTTTCATTTTTTAACAGACAACTTTACCCATAGCAAGTTGCTCAGTTTTTATAATAATGCATATTATATGCCTTAGGGGAAGAAGATAAATCACATCAAGGTGAGAGGAACTATGAGTAAAACAAACAAAAATCTACATCAAGAATAGGCAGAACCATCAGTAGTTCTGGGTTTGACAGAGTGGCTGAGTGGTTTGGTTTGGTGGGGGTTAATTTCCTGCTCTTCTTGTACAGCAGCTCTGCTCCTGAACACACACAACCTGAATCTGTAATTTTTCTGTGCTTTTTTTTTTTTCTTCTGCACCACCCAGCTCTGGGTGGAAGTTCTAAATTTGTTCCTGTACCCTCCCAAAAACCAGCACACGCAGACACACGGAGAGGCTGCTGACTGCCCAGACAAACAGGGAAGGAGATCCAACCTTTAATTTGGCCCTCGCAGCCTCTAATCAGGCAGGATGGGTCATGCATGTGGCAGAGGCCCCGCTCTAGCTTGGCCGTGAAGGAGCGAGCAAAATCAGTGTACAAGATCAGCACAGACCTGATCTCCAATATGGTCACCGGCAATAAAAATTAATACAAATGTTAATGGTTTTGTTACATTTCAAGCTAGGTAAATTGGATGTAAGTGCATAGACAAGAAATGTTAGCGAAATGCATGGTCATATTTAGCATAATATTCCAATTAATGGTGCTGGGGTAACTTAATGAGGGGTGTGAATTAGGATCAACAAAGAATCTATACCAAGAGCTGTGCATTACAGATTTTGTTCCGTGTTCGTTGGTCGTCTTGTGTGGATGTCTCAGGTAAATCAAATGAAAATGGAGAAGAAAAAATACTTAATAGCAAATATTATAAGAATGGATATATTGGTGACTGATGATGTGTCTCTTTCCTTCTTCCCTCCCCGTTGTACAGAAACATGAGGGCAAACTGGATGAAATCCTGAAGGAAGTGAAATCGCTCAGGGAAATCGTCAGCAGTCATGAGAAGCGAATCGCCAAACTAGAGGAGCAAATGTCCAAGATTCATAACTGAGGCCCCCTCCAACCCCCCCCCCCCCCCCCAAGTAAAACCACCCTGCAGAAAGCTCTGGCACTTTCCATGGTGCTCTGATACGAGATTCCCCCACGTCACACACTCAGTCGCTTCTCTCTTATTCAGAAATAATGGTCACACAGGCATGTTTTGGGTTCTGTTCCATATTCTGTAGCTGCGGAATGTACGAGGTAATTGAATTATCATATCCCTGTTAACCTTTGACCTGTTTGGAAGTGTCTTCATGTGAATTCCCTGATGTCCACTGCCCGAGTTACCACAATCCCAAAACGAAGGGTTAATCGATGAAAGTGTGGATTAATTGCTGGGTGACTCCTCTCGTTAATCACCTCGGTGGGGCAGTACGAGGTGTTATCTAGCTGTAGCACACCCGTGGCGGGCTCCAGGCGGAGCAGACAGGGTGAGTAATTGTTTTCCCAGCCATAAGCTCCTTCGGCTCTCAGACTGCTGCCTTTTGGTTGCACAGAGCGCATGTGCTCTGTGTGTCATTTCTCTGCATTGTGCCTGATTTGAATGAGTACTTGTCTTTTTTTTTGGGGGGGGGGGGGGGGTTTACTCTCTGTATTCTGTGCTTCTCATGACCTTTAATCCCAGATGTCAGCTGGCTTTGCTGAGGCAGGTGTTGTACACAGAAACAGATCGATTGTGTGGAAACATTTCTGATGCTCTCTCTTACTATATCTCTGATGATAATCTCGGTAACAGGCAATTTCCACACAAACACCACATAAACACAAAAACCAGCTGTCAGCTCCCTATTATGCTTTGTTAATTTCTCAGTTGCCTGTATTAGATTAGTACACGGGATGCACAATAATGCATTTTTTAGTTGATTGGTAAAAGTGCAAGATCATGGCGTGTGGGAATAGTTGAGATCTTNATCGTCAGCAGTCATGAGAAGCGAATCGCCAAACTAGAGGAGCAAATGTCCAAGATTCATAACTGAGGCCCCCTCCAACCCCCCCCCCCCCCCCCCCCATTATTCAGGGCGAATCATTGGTCGAGAGGTGGGTGGGGCCTGTCGCTGCCAATTCTGACAACTGCATTCTGCCTAATGGACCCCCACCCCAGCGGTGAACCCCAAACGACATTCCAAGAATTTTCTTTCTTATCTTTAATAAATAATCCCCCCCCCCCCCGATTAATACCCAAGGAGAAAGAATGAAAGACTAGGCTGACTATTATATAGCGGCGATGAGCACATATATATTTTTAATAAAAGTTAAGATCTGGATTGCTGGTATTTGCATGGATTGAAATGGTTTTGGTGTGATTTCTATTATTTAAATTTACCCTGCGTCCCATCCACAGTCACCTCAGTTCTCTCCATTGATCTGAAAATTATTAATCTCTGATCATGGCTTATATTCTGGACAACGAGTGCATATATTTGTCCTTATTCTCTCAGATCACATTTATTTTTCCCAGAATTCAGAAATGTTTTCACTGACTTGCAAAGCTTTTTTTAAAGAGACAGTGATTAATATGGTTTAATTGTGGATTAACCAGCCTACTGAAAAAAAGTCCAACTGCTGCACATTGATTGTAGTTAATTGCTTTTATTGGGATTTCTAGTGTTGTAAAACTGCCAGACTGGTTATTTTTAAATGTAATTATGAGGTTAAAATTTGAGTATAATTTCACGAAGTTGATTTTGATGATTGGCTCAATCTTTCAGACTTCAGTTGAAAAATATACCACCTGTTCATTTCTGTCAAATGTTCCCTTTTCTTTTTATTGCTGGGGGAGGTTCCTACTGCCCGCTTTTGAAATGATGACCTGACGAAACACAGCTATCAGTATTGTCTTTATCCTTCATACCTGCTTGCCAATTTTAAATGACTTCAGTTTACTAATTTCCTTAGGCAGTATTGTAATCCAGCAGATCAAATCGGTAAGGGATAAAGCAGTTGGGGTGGTAATTGGGAAGGGGGGAGGTGCCTGTCTGCCAGCCAAACAGGCACCCATTCATTGATGACTTGCTGCCTGGTTCATTTGCCTGGTGATGGACAGTGTTGAGATGCTATGTATGGAAGCCATTTGGTCTGTCCTGCTGTAAATGCCATGATGCCCCCACATTCATCCTGGATGTTATGAGCGGTTGTCCTGAGAGCATACGGCAGCTGCCCTTCTAGCGCATAACTGTCTTTCATCTACTTTTTATCCAAACCTTTTCTGGTAGTTTATGGTATAAAATTTACTTTTACACATTCAATTTTTTTGTGACCAATAAACCCTTTGAAGTCCTGGGCTCTTTATAATCTCTGTGCCATTCTTAGTTTTTTTTTTTTCTTTTTTGCTGGCCTGATTTCATGAAAAGCTCACATTTATTTCTCATTTTGTATGTATGGTCTGCATGTGTAATTTTATTGATGTCTGACATTTTGAACATTGCCTTTCTCCTCCCCCACCCCCAATTTCAGCTGGTATAACCATTCTGGGGACCAGAACACAGTCTGTTTCCAAAAAAAACAAATTTCATGAGATGCTAAATATATTAAAACCTCATTTTTTGTGTTCACCCTGTTTTTCTCAGCACACCATCAGGGAACTTTCCATAAACTTTACTGTTGGTTTTGAAAAGTGTCTTAACTGTGCAGTTGCATGTTGTGCCCAGCAGGGGGTGATCAGACGGCTTCATCTCAGTCCTGATGTTTTTTTTTAATGATCAATCTGATGTTAAATGTTAATAGCTGTTTCTCACCCCTGTTTTGTTCCTTTATCTTGCATTGTGGGTCTCATGTCTGTGCTTGTTATCATTGTGTGGGACTTGTTGCTTCTAGAGGTAACTTTGCACAGTGAACTTGACAAATTCTCCTTCCAAAAAAAAAAAAACTTGAATAAAAAAATATTCTTTCAAAAAACAACAACATAATGAGTGTTAATTGCATTTTCCAGTTCAATATTGGATTGTAAGAGCAGAAGCTGGTCGCAGTTAAGGAGAATAACATTAAGGTTGTTTCAGAGAGGGCCCTGGTTGTTGATCACTTGAGCAGTGAAATGGGTAAAACTGCAAGTTGTTTTGGATTAAAATCAGCTGAGTGAATTATGAGGTAACCCCATTACCTTCAGCTTAGTTCTTGGCTTGATTTCCTCAGTCCATGATTGGTTGCAGGAAGGTTTGTGTTTGGTTGTGAGGAAACTGGTGCTGTCTGAGAGCTGAATGGCTGCAAGGCATCATTGTTTAAGGTGAGGATCTGCAGTTTTAGCAAAGAGCACAATCACCTAATCACCATCTCCAGCTGTGGCTAAATGAGGAGAGTGCAGACACGGAGTTCCTCAGTGCTTCCGAGGGGAGAGCGCTGTCATGTTCAGCTTTTAATTTGGTCTGAGGCTGCCATTTACAGTGCTTTTAAAAAGCTTGGCAAGGGATGTTACTGCTGTGGGCAGAAGGATTGGCTTCCTTAAAGTGGTGCGGCAGAATTCCAGATGTGGGAATGGTCCTTTTACCTATAAGTGCCACATCAGAAGGCTTCCAGGCCCCCGCATCTGAAGCCTGCGCATGCGTGTAGGTGAATGGATAGGTGGGGGTTTGGTGTTAAACACTCCATCTTACATTTTAATGATTATTGCCATTTCTGACCAAAGCAAAACAGAATTATTAAAAAATGGAACGTCTAAGCCTGTTCTTTATGAAATTTCAACTTCATGCATTCATTCTAATAAAGACATTTACCATTTACTCTATAAATGTACATGAATTTTGTTTTGACTCAGTTAAATGACAATGATTCATTGTGGTAGTTCAGTGCATCAGGACTCTCCTTTATATTAATGTCACTCTCAAAAGCCTGTGAATCTATCAGCATTCAGTGCTGCTTATATCACTCAATGCTATAGATTGCATGTTTGGTTCTGACTCCAGTTCTTTGTTGAAAGGCTAGTGTTTGTTTATCAGTGACCTGAAACCCATTGTTCTGGCAGTGCAGTATATGATTGGACACAATGGTGTGACTTACAGTCTCGCAGTGCTTCAGCCTCACTGATAGAACAGTACTTGGGTCCACATCAGAGATGCAAAGAATCCATGTGTCTTAGATCTTGTGAGTAATGTCACTTGGAGCTGGTTAGCAAGTGAAAGAAGTAGCCAGTATCTCTCTCTATCTTCAGTGAGCACAGCTGTTACTCTTTATTTTTTTATTATTTCTGCAGGTTGAGAGACCCTGTAACTTACATTTTTGCTTTGCGTATGGTGTGAATTTAATGAGGGGTATGTAGTGGCCTCACACCCCCATGGTTATGGGTTTGATTCCTACCCAACCTCTCTAGGCTCCAGTCTCACTGCAGTCCTGTATAGGATAAGCACTTAGAATGATGCATAGATGCCAGTTTCCTTGTTCTTAGTTTAGTTTTTAAAAGTGAGGAAAGGTAGGTTATTGGTGACAGTGCCCCCTACAGTGTGGAGCTGAATTAGCACATTGGATGAGCTCCTGTGCTGTTGTAATCATATGGTAAATTTTAAATAAAGGGGCGGCACAGTGGTACAGTGGTTAGCACTGTCACCTCACAACAAGAAGGTCCTGGGTTTGATCCCTGGGTTGCCCAGGGTGCCTTTTTGTGTGGAGTTTGCATGTTCTGCCTGTGCATGCATGGGTTTCCTCCCACAGTACAAAGACATGCAGATTAGGTCAACTGGCTACTCTAAATTGCGCATAGGTGTGAATGCGAGTGTGTGTGGCTGTTGGCCCTGTGGTGGACTGGCGGCCTGCCCAGGGTGAACCCCGCCTCTCACCCAAAGATGCTGGGATTGGCTCCAGCTTCCCCGTGACCCAGATGCATAAAGCGGTATAGATAATGGATGGATGGATTTTTTTTGAGTTCTTAGTTTGTGGAAGATGAGCAGCCAGTCATCTCTCAGTCCTTTTCACAAATGTCTGAGCTGCTGTCTGAGCCCGCAAATCCGAAGCGGTATATATATGAATGAAATAAAACGCAAATCACAACTTCTGATTCCTCTGACATTTTCATCCTATAGAAAGGGAACGACTATACACTCGCTGAAGGAAGAAACATTTTGATTCAAAATATTTGACTTTCTTGTTATTTGTTGATGTACAGTACCTCTATTTTAGTTGGAACTGGTGGGAATGAATAAAAACAGCTTTTCACTCTCCTGACCCTAGATTTCTGTATTTACTGGTCACATGTCAGTTCTGGCAAAGGTTCCTGAAGCTGTAACCAAGACCTGCAGGGCAGAAATGGTTGTGTGTCCATGTGCTGTCGTGGAGTGTATCCAAGCGCGGCTGGTGCAGGCCAGCGACAGGTGTACGCTTCCTCGCGCCTGTCGCAGAAGCACTTTCTCCAGCCGTGTTTTTTTTTTCTTATCAGCTGGCCTTTCAGGAACTTGGTTCATTCGCTGTATACGAGACACCATTATGGTTTGAGGCGATTCTCTCTGTTGCGTCGTCTGTTAAATTTGTGCCTGGCAAGTACGTGTAAATCCCTTGCGGTTTGTATCTTTCCATTATGTTGAATAATTTTAAGTAAATCTGAGCCTTGGTACAATTTCCAGTGGAATTTCTGGAATATTAAGAATGAAATTGAGTAATAAAGCATTTAAATTTGAACTCTTCCGGCTAGCAGCTGGTCGGCACCCCCACACTTGTGCGAACAGTGGCAGGGTCCTCCTTCCCCCCACCCCATCACAAAGGAGCTTCAACAGCAGCTGAATAGATCTCAGAGAGCTGAAGCAGGATTGACGTGTGAAGATGTCCAGAAGACATCAGACCTTTTCAAAACAGGGTATATGATGCTAGAATGCATGCTTAGGAAGTCATGGCGTGTGGGATTATCAAGCCGTAATCACTGTGTCTCATTTAGCCAAAAACCTGCAAAGTAATCCATAAAGAAAGTCACGAGAAATGGGTGATACAGGTTAGCGAATGACAGAATGTGATAATCTCCCCCAGTGTTGGCTACAAAGCGTAGTTTCTTTAACTAGTTTCCACCCTGTTTAAAAGGCACTTTAAAAGTATTGTGGTAGGAAATCATACAGCAAAAAATACTTTTTACATGAAGACGGCCATAATCCTATGCAACATGTGCAGTTTCTGGAGAGAGCAAACAGAAACTATGGGATAGGTCTGAACGTTTGTCTGGCCCTCAGTGAAGCTGTCCCATGTTCAGAAGACGGTCCAGGAAAAATGCTCATCTTTCTGTTTTGCTTCCAGACTTGCGGGAAACACTTTCTCAGAAAAGCCACACGATAAGGCCTATTATGGCTTTCATGTGGGGTGGCAGCGAAATGCGTGATCAGGGATATTTTTGTCTGTTTTCTGCTCTCTGAACCTTTTTTTAGCGTGAAGGTTTACAAGGCTGGTCACTTTGTATTAAGGGTTCATTTTCGCGGTGAGAATTGAATTGGTTAAGGAATAATTCCAGCAGAGTGTGTGTAAATCTGTTGAGGCGACTCGATAAATTCAGCATTGATGTCTTGGTTCTACAGCGTTAGCATGTCAGTTGCCAAACATGACTTGGGGTGATGTGCTTGTGGGCCAGCTGTAGGACACAATAACCCGTCTGCACCAGCCTGCTTACACAGTCCCAGGTTCTGATCCAGACAGTCGGATCCCGTGTCTCCTGGCCCCGGGAGTTCCGCCCTCGGTCTGTGCCGTATGAAGACTGGGTTTAATGGGAACAAGCTGTGCCCTGCCCCAACCCGACCAGCAACGGAGGGGAGGGCCACTGGGCAGGAGGAGGCGGGGGTGGGTACAGACGCTGTCAGCTGCAAACGGAGGATCTGTTCCATCTGGCAAGAAGAGCTCCAGCCGAACACTAGCTGTAACGCTCCTCAGCAGCGGGGAAACAGCTGCCTGGCTGCCTTTCGGTTCCCACCATTCCCCGCTAGAGCTCCCCGCTGACTGTCGGTGTGATCCTCCCCAACGACGCTGGTTCCCTCAGCCAGCATCTGTAAGTACCAATCACTCTACCGAAGCATTTCTCTCTGCGCTCCTTAAGACAACTAACGAAACGGTCTGAATAGAGTTTGTTCAGTTATGGTATACATTCATTTAGATCCATTTGTTATCCTTATGAAGCCAAGTCAGCCTTATGAAGCCTGGTGCTTATTGCTGGAGTGCGAAAGCGAAGACCATGTCCAGACCATGTAAGCAGTTCTCGCAGGGCAATCATCATGGTTAGCTCACATAGTTTCTCCAATGTTTTCATAAACTGGGAAGAAGAATCGCAAAGGAAGCTGGTGACTCAGAGGGACTGTAGCATTTATAACCAGTTTAATGTGAGAGATTATGAGACTAGCAAGTAATGGGACAGTAAAACATTTCAACGATAAAAAAAATGACCATGGATACATTTCATATTTAATTCATAGTCTTGCAAACCAATCCTTTACAGAGCGTAGCATTTTACATGAAGGAACCATATTTACTTCTGATGTTTACATCTGATATGCACTCCACATAAATGACAAAAATGAGGTACTTGATAGTGCTTCAAAGGATTAACCTCCAGCCCAGATGTACTTTGGGACATAACCAAGCTTAAACTTTCTGTTGTTATTCTTGTTTGCTGCTTGCGTGAGGATTATGGAGCTTCTACCTGATGGTTGGCAAATTGTGATTGGTCCAGTTCACAGACGTGTGTCAAACAGTATAGAGGCAGAGGTTTCTGGACCAGTTTTTCCCTGGTAGGACGTGGGTGTGTGGTGGAAGGAACAGGGATGAAGAACCACAGAGTTTTTTCCCACTGTATAATTTGGGCTTGCTAATATCGTGGTGACTGTGTAGACTTAAAACTGCACTGTTTATGTGCAAGACAGACTTGCAGACGACTGTAGTTTAAACGTAAAGTACCGTGACTATGCAGACTACCCAAAGAACACTACAGATTACTTCGATCTCTGTGGTTCAGTTTCAGGATTATCCGTCAAAAAAAAAGCTCATGGTTCATTGTCAGTTTTATTGGTTAATATATAGTTAACTGCTCTATGTAACAATTTAAAAATGTAACTTTTTTTTCTTCTACAAAATGATAATGTTGAGTACAAAAGATTTATAGATGTGATACAAAATGTTCTATATGGCCAAGAGGGCACAGTAAGTGGGCAAGAATGTCCCTGAAGTATTTTACAGTGGGGAGATGAATGGACTGGAAAACAGATCCAAGCTTTAGCAGCTCAGAAAACATAGTGGTGTATGAGCCAGGAGCCTGATGTTCTTACAGAGTGCCCCAATCGGCATGTGCAGGGGAAATCTAGACAGATGGCCAACTCTGGTTCCGGGAGGGGGGGTGGGGTTCGCAGTCCAGTCAGTTTTACAGAATTAATTTTAATTAGCATCAACTGACACCTGAATCTCTGGGTGATGTGATTTTACTTAAAAGTAAAAAGTAGAAGTTGGAGGATAACTTAAAGACCAAGGCTGAGTAACGGCACATTAAAATGAAGGAGAGAGACCGTAGCCTTTGAAACCCAAGGTGGGTTTGCTGTGCGCTGTCAATCACAGGCGGATCTCACCCAATCAGAACATTTTAAACTGAATTTGAGAAAACACTTCTTTACACTGCGTGTAGTTAGAGTATGGGATAGTCTTCCTACTAGTGTAGTGCAAGATAAAACCCTTCCTTTAAATCAGAGCTAGATAAGATTTTAACAACAAGCTATTAGTTAAGTTCTCCCCAAAGAAGCTTGATGGGCCGAATGGCCTCCTCTCGTTTCTTAATAATCAATCACCAATAAGAAGTGGGTCAAACCTGCCAAAGAATGATATTTTATTCCCTCCATAATTAGCTTTAAATAACAGCAAAAGGTTTTCCCAACACAATCGATTGTTTAATTTTGAAGTCCTTTGATACTTTGGTACAATATATGTCATTTATTTTTACAGCTAATACAGTTCATTTCCATATTCCTGAATAGAAACCTGCATTGACATTTAAACAGTAACTTGGGGTCTAATGGAAATGTGATGAAATGTTATATTTTATTAAATAAAAAATGGTTTATCTGAAGCAACAATTTAATAAATGTGGCTGGCAGAGCACCAAAGCCATTCTTAAGATTTTAATCTACAAACATCCAATCACATGTCCAGATCTGTAACCAATAAATTGCATCTGCATATATGGTCACAACGCTGATACTGAAGTGATTGTTTTATTTGAAAATGTTACATTACGGGCAGTAATTTAATCGATTTCCTTTACTTTCCCCTCCTGCTCATGTGGTCTTTATACTGAGTTTATCTCACTATCTTGCCGTGTCATCGGCACAATTCTATCTGAAACGAAACAAATCAATTCAGAAATTCATTTCAAGAAAAGGGGGGGTAGATCACACGACTCCTCCCTGAACAGTTTAAGGTCCAACTAACGGACCTTGATTTGCTCAAGTCAGGGTCACCAGTGACAAAGACCTGGAATCTCTCCAGGACCAAAGTGAACAAAGTGGTTTAGCACTGGCCGTGTGAGTAGATCAGTGTAAGGAGTACTGTGGATGGATGTATGTCACATGTAAAACTGTCAGCTGTGCGAGTCACAGACCAAAATAACTGAAAAAGAAGAGTATAGCATTTATGATTCACTCATCTAACTCTTTTATTTAAAGCAACCTATAGTATAGTGGTCCCTGAGATGTATAACAATAAGGTAGCTGGGTTTCTTTGGATCACAGTGTGTGTCAGGCAGCTATGATTATAAATTTTTTTTATTTAAAATACACACATTGCAATTCCATGTCTGGACAGCACTGAGCATGCTTCAGATGTCAGGAGGCAATGTACACCAGGGGGTGGTAGAGAGCCCTTCATTGGTGAGTCATTGGTTAACTGTGGACCATAAATATAGAGGAGAAGGCCACAAGGATCCCACACCCTGTTCCTCCCTCAGAAGCATATAGTTTTGTGCCGCCCTTTTTGTGTGGCAAGTGAACAGCCTTTTCGTTGCTAATTAGAAGCTTCAACAGCTTCCCCACCCAAAATTAGGAATTGTTATTAAACTATATTTAATGCAAACGTGGGAAAACACAGCAGATTTCTAGCTGAATTTGCTGTATTCACTTTAGATGAAAAATAGGACGATTGTAAAGCACTGCATTTCCTCCAACTGATATGTAATTAGACATACATCAGCATAGTCTTGATCCCACAAGAGTTTGTATGGCCGTCATGAATGGAGGGGGTTTCTTTGTTTTTTGTTGGATTAAAAGGTCAGAATAGATCAAAAACACAATAACGTACAAGAAAAATGCTTCAAACACCACAGTCGACCTACTGTGGTAGATGCATTTGGTTCATAGACACTGCAAAGCAATTGAAATAATGCAAATCGGCTCCAAACTCTGATGGTTTATGTTATTTTACCAAAGCCTTACCATGGTTTCTACAAACAGGCATTTCTGTGTTATGCCTAAAATAACATAAACCATCATTGTTTGGATCCAATCTTCATTATTTAAAAGAATATTAGGATTAGGATTAAGAATATTAAGTCCCTTCATGTTTTCTTTAGCTAAGGTATGAGTCACACAGCTCATAGCTGAGTTTACTGCAGATTTGCCACCGGATTTCGGTGTGGGAATAGTAGAAGCAGCACCTCTCACATGTTCAAAACCCTTAACAGAGTGGTATGTATTTGTTAAAGTAAAGGGGTCTCCTGGGATATCTTCATTATCATCATTGTGCATATGCCGATATTTTCAAACTAAATTTAGCCAAAACCGATATATGCACATTATTTTTTATTTCATTGAAGAGAACACTAAGTGTGTCTTGTACTAGAAATAACCTTTTACTCTTATTGTTATGGCCAACTGGGGATGGGCAATGTTGTATTGTTTGCGATATACCGGGAAAAAATTCCCCACGATCATAATTAGTCATCCTGTGATAATAAAGATAAACTCTAATTGATAACATATATGTGTGTTCGACGCACTCACAGTCCAGCCCGCTGTAACAACCATAGTGGAAGGTGAAAGAGAACCCGAGGAGGAGTTCAATGCTAAAAAAGGAGCTACCTCAATCATCTGGAACTGGTTTGGATACAGAAAACCTGACGTGGAACAAACAACTGTAATATGCAAAGTTTGCAAAAAAAAAACAGTGCTTACAAAGGATGGCAACACATCCAGTTTGTTCCACCAACTCAAACACAAACCAGAGTATGAGGAAAGCCAGAAGACGCGTGAGGAGGAGACAGCAAGGTCGAGTAATATTACAGTTAAGAAAATTCCTACTCGGCCGAGAATTGCCGACACATTTTCTCATTGCATTCCTTATGATAAGCAAAGTAAACGATGGAAGGAATTGACAGAGGCAGTGGCAATTTGCTTGGCTAAAGACATGTTGTCACTCCAAAAAACAGTAATGAATTGTAATATTTTTATCGTCATTTATATTGTTATCACAATAAATACGAGAAAATATCGTGATAAAATTTTAAGTTCGTATCACCCATCCCTAGCGCCAGCTCATAGTTATTATTTCCATTGTCCTCACAGGCCACTCTCTCATTTATTAAATCATATATTTATTTGTTTTCAAATGCAGCTGTTTGTTTCAAGACTTGTCACGAGTTGGGTTTGTCCTACTTGAAAAAGCAGCTTGAATCTAATTGTATGAGGTAACAGACATAACTTTGATGCAAGGTTATTTTCAAGGTTTTATTTATTTTGACCCAAAAAATAAAACAAAACTGGCATTATGCAGCATAATAAGCTAACTTTCCTAACTTCTTTTACCCAGGTTCTCTGAATGACCATGAAGCTCTCTCTGTTCCTTTCTTTGGCCTGTGTGTCCACGATTCTCCTGTGGAACTGCAGCTGTGATGCCACACCCTTCCCATTCAACATGTCTGCAGAAGGCAGTGGGGAGAGTGACCCAGAGGTCATAGAACCTGCCTCTTTTACCACTCGCAGCCCAGACCATGTGTCTCCAACACCAAGGGTCACCACTGCCACTCGCATCAAGCACTTCATCCTCAATCAGGTGGTGGATTTCCTGCGTGAGAACCTGCTCCTCATCATCGTCATCTCTTCACTGGTCATCATCCTCATCTTCATTGTCTGCTGTGCCTCTGTCATGAGCCACAAACGCAAGCTCAATGCCTACTACCCTTCATCCTTTCCCACAAAGAAGTACGTGGATCACAAGGATAAGTCTGGGGGTGCCAGGACGTTCAATGAAGTTCCAGGCAAACTACCTAGCACCCAGCAGGCCCGACCACTGGAACCTGTCAAACAACCACAAACTGACAACAGAATGATCACCAAGAACCTGAGGACTCCCTCAAATGCCTTGGTGGGAGAGAAGGAGGGCAAGGAGTCCAAACTGAAACCCCATGAAATTCAAGCCAACAAGGAAGACAGGAAGCCAGAGGAGACCACCCAGGTCGCCAAGCAGGAGGAACCTAAACAAACCCCAAGCACCAGCCAACCCCCCCTGGTTTGTCTGTGTCACTTGAGAAATGGCAACCAGCCAAATGCTTCCCAGAATTCATCTGGCCCAGAAGATCGAGTGGCCAAGAGAGATGGGAATGTAGCAAAGGTTCAGGGAGTTGTTGTGGAAGTGGTGTAAAGAATGAGGAGGAGAGATGACTTAACACTGTGTATGGCTGGTCTGATGCCTTCAACACAGCATGTCTGTCACACTATCCTGAAGTATTTTTTTGCTATTTTGTTTGAGATGGTGGAAAATTAAAACCAAAAGAATCAAAGGCAGATCTGTATTATTTTTCCAACTGATTATTTAAAATTATTTTTCTGTCATCATTAATGCACAGAAACCAAATATGGATGACTTCTGTGACTTCTGGTGCATTGCATGAAACTTGTTTTAGGCCAAAAAGTATGAGCCAAAAACCATGAAAAGTAGTTCCTTGATTTTTTTATTTTTTTTTTATTTTTTATGAGACGCATGTCTGATTTTCCACTCATTCAAAGCAGGATTCTGGCAGTGCCAGACACAACCTACTCAGCATAAACAACACTGCTCTTTTATCATAGTTCTGTATTCATTGTTGCATATTTTTGGAAGAGACAATCTATGAAAATACCTCTTGTGGTGCACCATTTCCAAGGCACTGAGGTTGTAAGCCATTTCTATCTGCAGTGATATACCTGCGCATTGTCCCCCTCAGTGCCTATATTTTGATCAGCAAGGGAAGAATATAACCATATGTGTAAAAACTGATATCACAGATTTTTTTTTTCTTTTTTAAGTAGCATGCAGCTGTTACGTTAATTATCTTTAAATGTTTCTAGTTTTGAGTGACCTGTGCTTACCTCTTCTGATTCACTGCATCTTTAAGACAGCTTCACGTTACTTTATTTAATTTTGGCCTTTTTTCAGGTCAACTTTTCATGGTAGACACAAGAAATCAGTCATTGTTACATTTACATTTATTCATTTATCTGATGCTTTTATCCAAAGAAATTTCCAATTGTGTGCTCTCTGAGATTGGTTTGCTTTAAAGCATTACCACTAATCTTCTTGGAGCACTATGGTTACATTCTTTGTCTTGTCCCCCTGAAGGAAAATTATTTTTAAACTTAATATCCTTCTCATATAATGTTGTCAGCTATGACGCCCACACTGACTCCTTTGTCTCCAGCATAATGGTAAAAGAAAGTAAATATAGTTGTATTTTTCTTGTTCATATGCAACCTATCTTGCAAACAAATTGGTAGACATTACGTCCCTTTATTGTACCACTTAAAGGACATTACATAGTTTCCTGGCAAAATATGTCTGGTACTAGACTATTAAATTGCATTCTGTGTTTTTATATTTAAGTGCTCTTTGAAGTCAGGATACTTGTCTAATGATAATATGACGTTATATTTTCTGTTACTCTTTTTGTGTGAGTCTGTTTAGTGGCATATAATATTCATTTAACTTTATACAAAAGGGGAAATCGTGTATGTGTCTGTTAATGTTTCACTTAGGTTATTTTTCCGAATGATGAATTTTGATGTGAAATTAAAAAATTGAAAATTAAAAATAACTGTGGACGGAAAAACATAGGAAGACTGTGCAAAAAAAATGGCAGTAATGATGCGTTTATTCCCACTTTATCATAAGCATGGTTTTCCGAGTTCCTAAATGCTTATGTCAGCTAATATAACCGCCACAAATAAACATAGTAATAAAATAATCCAGTTTCTTGTGTTAGTTTATGTTAACGTAATGCTGGGGTCATCAGTTTTGTTAGTGGTTACAAACAATGTCTAGACTGTTATGTTATTAATGCATTCTATGACAATTACATTTATTCTTTTTGTGGTTCTGTTTTCCAGTTTCCTATGTTGTTGAAACGCAGACAGCAGATAAAACACATCCATTCCTTTTTATAACATACATTCTTTATAGGCCTAGTACTAATATGATTTAAACCAGTTCTGCAAGCTGGTCAACGGAAACATTTCATAAGGTATGTTTTTATTAAAACACTTGGCACATTTGACCCAAACTAATAAAAATACAGGTTAGAAATTATATTGGATATGAACTTCAACGTACACTGTCTGAATAGTTTTGCTACCATTAACAGCAGACTGAAATAGTTTTATGACTTATATTGAAGAGAGCAGTTTGCATGATGAGAACATCTCTGTAGATATGTTTTATATAAATATTTAACGGCGGCATTCCTACGGGGAATTACGTGTGCTAACTCTCCGCTGCGGACCGAATTTGGTCTCCTTCAGATGCCGGGTCAGATTGATCCACATTGAGAGGACTTGTTTGCAAGGACGCTTGTGATTTTGGTTTCAATGCCAAAACTTCTCAAATATTTATTAAAAGACTTTTCAGTTCCACTTGCATTCCGCGCAGGGTGTACCCAAGAATGGGATAGGATCCAGCCCCCCCATGACCCTGACCAGTAGATGTGGTTGGAAGATGGGTGGATTCCTTTTCATGCCACATGTAGGCCTAACATGGTCCTAATATGGAGTGAACATGGAAAATGAGAAAATGGTGCATCCTTTCCTTTGGAGCTCCTGCACTACTTTTACCACAACACACAGAAATAACATTTACAAATTTGAAACAAAAACATAGTATGCACCAAATTAGAAACCTGACATAGGCCTAACATTCAAAAATGCTGGCATAAGCATCCATAATCTCACCGAAATTTCAGCACCAGCTCAGTAAAAATAAATGTATGGGCACTTAGCAGACTGTGAATTTCAGCACTAAAAGGAATAAATAGATGACTTACCTAGCAGCATGCTTGTGTCCAGTTTAGTGACTGGCAGATGCACCAAATATTGTCCCTTTGTTTATTTTGTCAAAAAATGAGATGGTTATAGTTCTGTCTATCTGTGACACTATAGTATGTCTTTGCACAAACAAATAGTGTATTTATGTTTTGGGGTCTAGTTGAGCTAATGAACTTAAACCCCATATGGCTTTAATCAGCACTGACTGCAAGTCACCTTCGCCTTTATCGGGTTGTGTGGCGCTTTGTCATGTGCTCCTCGCTGTCCCTGCAACCTTGCACTGTTATTTGACTATTTTGTGGCCAATGTAAAAAAACAGTAATGCCGGACTTTGCTTAAACAAGACTGTCTATAAATGTCTTGCAGGAAAATAAGGGCACTTTGTGCCCAAAGATCCTGCAATGAGAAGCGCTTTTTCTCTCCTTGTTGGGCTTACAATTTTTGGTCAGTATTTCAGTAGCTAGTTAAATGACACGGTACTCACTGAAATTTGAGTTTGTGTCTTTTTTGGTGCACCCTGCTGTTATAATGGGCAAAGTAAACAAACTAGTTTTGTCTGCTTCTGACTAAAAACTAGGGATGCACAATGATATCGGCACAACATCGGTATCAGCCGAAAAAACCTTTAAAAACTTTTTTTATGTATAAATTTGTAAAATGATACATTTAGGGATGAAATGTTGTTGGTCTTGTTTTATGTCTCTGTCTACAACAAGTTGGCCATAACAATAAGAGTAAAAGGTTATTTCTAGTACAAGACACACTTAGTGTTCTCTTCAATGAAATAAAAAATAATGTGCATATATCGGTTTTGGCTAAATTGAGTTTGAAAATATCGGCATATCTAGTATAGGCAAAAATTCTATATTGTGCATCCATAGTAAAAACTGAATTTTTAATTCTCTGGATAAATTTTGCTAGTAGCTTAAATATATGATGAAACAATTGCCAACAGATCTGGCATTGGCTTTCTCCAAGCAGTAAAACAAAAAAAAAACATGGTTTTAGTATATAGGCCTAGCTTTTTCAGTGCTTCACATTTTATTTGTCCATGTCTTCATACAAGTTGTGGATCGCCTCGCAATTGCTAGCATTGTAATCGATGGAAAGTGTGCCACCTTTTGGCAATGTTGGGAATGACATGGTACTATCTGCACCTGTCACACCAGTGCTCCTAGACAATAGCACTGGATACTTATCATGCCTGTGGTTGCCCGTTTTGTCTTATAAGGGGAATATTTGGTTATTTTTTTAATCTTTGGATTATATTTAGTTCGACAACTAAAGTCATTTTTTTGCCAGTTAAGTTTCACTGGTGACAGTTGGGCACACTGAGAAGCTAGTTTTTAATTGATGGCGCAGTTTGAGTCTCATTCATGTACTGCTTTGGAAAAGCTATCAACTACGAACATAAGGTAAGCGCTAAAGTTAATGTTCTACAATGAAAATCCTACAAAAAATCAAAGGTTGTCAATGTGAAATGTTTGACTTTATTAAAATTTCTTAAATAGCAAAGTCTGGAATGTGTTTGAAAGATATGCTGTGTTTATGCATGCAACATAGAAATAGTAAAAAAAAAAAAAAAAGCCACATAACAAATAGTTTGTATATCTTGCTGTAGTTGTTGAAATTTACTGTATTTCACGCTTGCTTTTTGTGAGAAATGGACCATGCATGTAGTTTGCAGGAAGATGGGTGTTTGTCTGATCGCGGCAGAGAGCCAGGTCAGTGATCCGGTTTGAAATGCAGACGTCAAAGATGGAAAGTGAAAAGTCTGCGGCTCAAAGGAGCAGCCAGCAGCTGAAAGGCGAGTCCTGGAAGGCGGCTTGCCTCAGGATCAGCTTTCCTCTCCTTTTGTTGAGGAGGTGCTAAATAATTTGGGAATACACATCCTACACAGTTTGACGGCAATCTGCTCGCTTTCGGACAGTCCATATCCTAATAGTTCATCAATTCATCTATATTTTCTGATTGACACTAAAGCAGATACCTTTATTTGCCACATTGCTAAAAAGTTTAATCGTCCTATGGCTATGTTGTATTTGTCGATCAGCTTGAAGCAATTACAATTACAATTCTAAATGTTTTTTAACCATCAGCAAACATCTTACCAGAGATCTAATCAGGAAGAAGACATGGCATCAATTGGTGAAGAAGACACACAACAAGTAACGGAATACTTTTAGGTTCCATTAAACTTTGATGCCTGCTTTAGATTTGCTGAGACCATTTCATTTCTATGTTGCAGAGCATCTCCTCAGGTGCAATAGGTGTGCAATTTTTACACCCTGGGGTCAAAAAAAATTCTAACCACAGCTGGAGAAGATGGTAAGTGCCACTGTATTATGTCATTTTACTACTCAAAACCTAGATGCTTTTGAAAAGGAGAAATATAATTTCAAGGTGTATTTTCTCAAAGGTACATTTTACAAAAAGTTGCATATTTTAGGTTTCAGGATTTTCAGGGTGTTTAAGGACAAGATCACATGTTCTAAAGAAAATTGAACATAAAATGGAGTTGGTTCCTTTCTGCAATCATCTACAAGCCTCAGCGGACGTCAGCTTACTGGAGACTGGGAATGGGTACCTCTGAGTCCTCAATGGCCTGGCTCTGTCCCATGACAGTAAGCCATGCCCAGGTGCCTATATGGTCTGCTTTTGGTCCTTGTGATGACTCCTCTAGTTTCCCGGGTGGCTTCCATCTGCCCTCCAGGATGTTGCTGCCCACACCCAAGGTCTCTGGTTCTCTGTGAATCCCTGGGCCTTCAGAACCTGCCACGTGCCATTCCCCTCAGCACATCTGTCCTCTCCATGGCCAATAACCGGCTGTGCAATGTGGACCACCTGCTCCGAGTTTTCGCCGACCTCCGGGAGCTGAGCCTCGGCCACAACCGGCTGCCCCGCTTCCCCCGGGGCCTGCCCCCCAGCCTTCAGTCTCTGCAGCTGAGGGAGAACCACATCACATACCTGACAGCAGGTGGACTGCGACAGTTGGGAAACCTAACCAGGCTAGACCTGGAGGACAACCGCATCCGTTTCATACAGCCTGGTGCACTTCTGCGACTGACAAAGCTGCGGGTTCTGAGCCTGAAGGGGAACCGCCTGTTGGACCTTCCACGCTCCCTCCCCTCCTCTCTGGCCCACCTTGACCTGTCTGCCAACTGTGTCTCATCTCTGGATCTCACATCCCTGGCCCCCCTTGTGAACCTGCAGGTGCTGAAGGTCAATAGCAACTGCCTGAAGTCAGTGCCTGTGGGCGCCTTTGACGGGCTGCCCCGCCTCCAGACCATTGCCCTGGCTGACAACCTCTGGGTATGCGAATGCAACATCTTCTATCTGTACAGGTGGCTCCTGGATGGCAGGTTGAGGATGGCCACAGACCTGGTTTGTGCCGCCCCTGTCCACTTGGCCCGACGTTTGCTCCTCACTCTGTCCATCACAACCATCTGCCCCTGGGTACTGAAGCCAAATGACACCAGGGTTCCCCCAGATACTAGAGTGCCCTATAAACCACTGGACAGTCAGGCAGCTCTACCTGGGACTGACAGCATGTCCGTATCCACAACAACCAGGCCATTCTTGGCATCCTTTAGACAACCAGCCAAAGCGTCACAGACACCAGCCATGACTGATGACCACACCTGGCACATTCGTCAAGGCCTCTTGGCTGCCCACCTCCCGGTCGAAAGCTATGTGTTGGAAGAGCTGAGCTACAAGGACTGCTTGTCATTGAACTCAACTCCACAACCTGTCCTCCAAGTGGACAGCTCTGTGGCCCACAAGGACACCACATGCACAGAGAACACTGTGGGTCACTATACAGACGCTGACAGCACCACCACAGGGCCTGCCAGTCCTGCCCTCCCTACGGACAAGGCCGGCCCACAGCCCATTACCCCCATCTGGCCTGTGAGACTGCAGGAGTCCAATGCAATTTTGGCTATGCTGGTCACTTTGTGTGTGCTGGTCATCCTGGTTCTGCTCCTACTTTTACTTCTCCTGCGGAAGGTCTTGCGGAGGAACCAGAGAGTGGCCCCCATTCAGAACTCTTGACTCTGAAAAGACTCCAAAGTCACCTGGCTAACAAAAATAACAGAATTGCAAAATAACAGAGAACAATTGCTGTTTATCATAAACATTTAACAATTTGATGTGACTTTTTGAAGCACCTCAATGAATTAGAATGCATGTCACAAAGAGAAATGAGGAGTTCTGAAATGGTAGTAAAACACCACAGACAAGTCATGCAGCATTTCTGTTTCAATTGTTCTTAATTGCAACTGTACAGTATGTAGTGTCTATTAAATATTTTGAAAACAAGACTTTCATGTCTTTATGAAAGCAGACAGCCTGCTCCAAAACTGAAGTGCCAAAAGAACACAATATTACTTTATTGCCATTGCTATTTCTTCTGCAGCACGCATGACAAAATCATGACAATAGAATAATACTCTAACTCCTGTCTGATATTCATGCTGGCTTTGTCCAACCATGGCTTACTTTAGTGGAATTGTATATTTCCATGTTCTTCAATATCCTTCTAAATCACTTTTATTTCCCAGAACTGGACAGATATTACTACTAGTAACATGAACAATAATAACCTTGATATTGAATAAAACATACTGTCAGAGGTACCTAAATTATGAATACTACTCTTCAGCAATCCTTTGATTCTTTCTATCCAGATACTCTGCAAGTGCAGACACCAATGTCTGATAAGGCCAAAGAGTAATGTGAATGAAGATGGGTGACAAGGGGCCTAATTGACACATTTTTATCCAAAGATTATACATTTTTGAGAAACTAGGGTCAGACAGCCCCTACAGTAACTGGGGGTTAAGAGCCTTGCTTAAAGGTCCAACAGTGAAATTACTATGATTATGGTGGGATTTGAACCAGCAACCTTATGATCACAAGCACAGCACCCTAATCCATTGAGCCACACAATCGATTTTGATATCCCTGTCAATCTATGGAAAGACTTGGAAATTGCTGTCCATGCTGTAAACAGACCTTGCGCAAATCTATCAGGTACTTGATCAGAAAGGTTTCATTTTATTAGTCTGTTGAATTATTTCTAGCTATTATGTAAGACAATGCTGCAAGGAACCCAATCTGAACTATACATCCATCTTCCATAATTTTTCATGCAGTATAGGGTCATGGCACACCTGGACCAGGAGCAACACAACCATCTAAGTGTGAGGCCACAGTGAAACTCACTGAGTCACTGTTCCTCCAGGTGAACTGATTTCAGAAAAAAAATCTTACCCTTAATTTTTTGGTTCATATAAACTTCATTCAGTATTTAAATAAATTCTTCAATTTGTACTTTCATAGGAAAGAGCAGAATGTTGTTGTAATCCACCCTGTCCTCTGCTGTGGGTCTGTCCATTCATCTATCCATACATCTTCCTGTAGAAGTAAAAAGGGACACAAGTAGCCTCCAACACGATCTTAGATGATGGGTTATGACTAGAGTAAACTCAAGTGGCAAATTTAACAGGTCATGTTTCACAATTAACTAATGCAAGGAGATTCACTTAAGGGATTAGATGTCACGGATATTGATTAAAAATTCATTGTTCCTGTTTGTTAGTTTACTATACGTAAGCCTAATACTTTCTTTACAATTTCAACATTATGCACATTTTGTGAAACTTCTTTTAAAAATATTGGGACGAGTGATGTCGTTATGCTGAGAAAAACACTACAAATTATTTTAGAATCATAAATATATAAAGCTTCCACACTTCATCACACAAGCGAGGATAATTCGGTGATGTGCAACCGATCGTCAGAGAATATTCCAAAAAAAAAAGCAAAGAAAAATTTTGCTGTCGCGATTAATTTTGGACTACTAAACTGGCATGTATGATATATTAGGTAATTTCAATTGCTTTAGACAGCATTCAGCTTCGCCATTAGCAATGAGTTTGAGTTGATGAGCGGACCTGTAATGTTGCCTACCAGTACATTGATTCATTATTATATAGAAAGAAACAACATAACTACCTCCAGTTACAATCATAAAAAATATAAAGTTGTAGTACATTAAATCTGTCCACCGGGGAGCTGCATTTTAGGAGAAAGTACAAATAAAAGAAATCTATATAAAAATACTTAAACTGGAAAGTCAAAGAAAACCGAACGCTTTCGTCTGAAACATTAGTTACTGAATGTGAAAAATGTCAGCATTTATTATAAATTAAATTACAGAAAACGTTAGAAAAATACACTTAATTGCGAATTAGAATTTATTTCCATAACACATAATTTACACATAAGTTACATAATACTAGTTACAGAAGTTTGTTAAACGTAATGTTATTTCATAAAACTAAAGTAACCCATTACTTTCAGCGTACGTCTGTACGATTTTCAACACCGCACCAAGATGGCGCTGATTGCAGTGACTAAATAACCACGTGGTTTTGTTAAATGTGACGCATCATCAAACCGTCTTTAAAACGCCTGAAATATTGCCCCTGACAATTTCAATAAAACGTGAACTAAACGCGATAGAAATGTGACATTTTAATAAATATAAAAGTAAAATATATTATTAATCTGGTGCTCAGACAACGCAACACTGCGTTTTGTTTATTGGGGTCATTAAAAGCAGGCTTGAGGTTGGACAACATTTCACTGTTACCAGGCAGATCGAGTCCCAACATGGCGGCAAAGGGAAGCGAAGAGAAGACGCAGTTTCAAGAGATGGAGGAGGAGACGACAGCTGGATTGGAAAGAGAAATGGAGTCTGATCAGGAAGAAGGAATGGGGGTGGAAGATTCTTCTGAGGATGAAGACGGTTCCTCTGAGGATGAGAAAGAAAACGAGGCTGAAATTCAGCGTTTAGAAGAACAGGTATGGTTAAAAAAATGAATGAATGAATGTGTTGTCAAAACCCCGTTTATTGACCTAAAACACTAGCGTTTCTGGCTGAATATCTGAGATCTTAAAAATACAGGCAGTCATTGATTGCCCAGTATACATGTAACGTACGTGCATATTAACATTAAATTTAACGGCATGCGGGCGATCCATATGTACGCAGAACCCACTCCATTAAGTAGGCTGGGATTTAAATGACTGCGTTATGATCTGCGCGTAATTAGGTAACAACGCGGTTTATCATGCTGGCAGTGACGCATATTTTCAATGCATGTGCGTGTCTTCAATTGTCCGGGTTGATCGTTAGATTTATTTTGTCGGTAAAAAAAATAAAAAATTCTAAGCGTTACATCGTTAAAGTTTTGTCTGTCGCGGTTGTAAAACCCTACAGCCTACCCCGTTGTAACCGGAGTGCTCACGACTTTCCCTGTTTCCTGTGGGGAGCGCATTGCTTTCCAGAATAGTGTGGGCGCGATGGCCAAAACACTCACATGCTCCATCATTCCACCCAAAGAGTCGCTCGATAGGTTCCATAATTGCTCCTCGCTTGTTGATTTGCATGCTTCTATGGTGTCATTTCCCTATGTCATTAGCACACAGTCACCTCTTGCCTGTTATCGAACTTTCTTCCGCTGTTCCATACGGACCTGTTTGTTCACTGATTTGCAGCTATCCATCAATGTATTTGACTACAACTGCCATGTGGACCTGATCAAACTGCTAAGGCAGGAGGGTGAGCTGCTCAGACTGCGCAGGGCAAGGCAGAAGATGAGTGAGCTTTTCCCTTTGACAGAAGGTTAGACCCAGCCCTTGTGGCACTTTGTCATTCCTATGACCTTGTTGTTTGTGGTCAGTAGAGATGTTTTGTGTTTTAATTATTCATTTACATGGTCAGTGTCTACAGGTGAGTTAGTGACATATGTGAAAACAGATCTTAAGGTGTGTTTTTAAATCTTGCTTGTCTTCTGCAGAGATTTGGCTGGATTGGCTCAAGGATGAGATACGGATGACAGAGGGGGAGCCCAACCGTGAGAGTGTGTATGACCTGTTTGAGAGAGCTGTGAAAGACTACATCTGTGAGTATGGGCATGAGCTATTGCGGAAAAATAACCTTCTGAGAGACAGGTGCCATAAAAATGGTGCATCTTCCTCCTCACTCAGGCCCTGAGATCTGGCTGGAGTATGCCCAGTACTCCATTGGGGGGATGGGGTCATCTGGTGGGATTGATCAGGTGCGGTCCATCTTTGAGCGAGCCCTGACATCAGTTGGCCTGCACATGACCAAAGGAGTTGCTTTGTGGGAGGCCTACCGGGAGTTTGAGAATGCCATCCTGGCAACAGTGCAGGTAGTGTGTTTCTGCTCTCATTTCTAGGGTTTTCAGTACATTGTGGGAAATATCCTATTAAAACCTGTCATACAAATGTAATAATGGTAATGGAAGCTACATAATCTGTGTACAGAGGATGAGTGAGTTGTCTTGTTGATCACCCTAAATCTCTTGCATTGATCACTGATTTTATCATTATAGACAGTGTTATTGAGATGAGGTAAGCACTGAGTTAGACATGGTGTCTTGCATGGGTGGCAATCCAGCATGTCCACAGCATGCTAGATTGCATGCACAGCATCTGCTGTGTCTGCAGGTAATGTTGAAATGTGTCCCTTTCCCCTTCCGGTGGGGACTGTGTACAACTGATGCCCTATGATACAAATGCCACAGGGGAGACCGTTACCTTTTTTCACTCTGCCTCAGGGTCTTGGCCAGTGTGTAACTCCCCTCCCTCAATCTTCTCTCCTGTCTCCACAGCCACCCCCAGGCAGTGTTCCCACTCGCGAACAGCAGGAGCTGCTGAATGTTCAGCTTGAGCGAATCCACACACTGTTCCGCCGCCAGCTGGCCATTCCTTTAATGGGTGAGGCTCGTAGCTTTATTTGTGGGGCGGGGGGGGGGTCTCTCAGGACTGGTTTCATAGAGCCATGTTATGCTTCTTTCAAATGGGGCTCGAACGCTGTTGGTTCTCCTGGAGCACCCCTTTGGTTGGTTTCAGGTGGAGAGGGGGTGTGGGCTGCCAGGCCTTTCACATAGTGCCTGGCCAGCTCCATCCTTTAGAAGAGTCTGGCATGGATACAAACAGATGGTGTGGCCTTGTGTGTGAGGCTTTGGAGGCTCAGTTTATTTTCCACCTGAGACTTAGCTGGGGTTGCCAAACACATTTTCGGCATGCACGGTGCCTGGTTTAGAGCTTGGGCTCCCCTTTTATTATTATTATAATGATATTTATATAAAGAATCTTCGCTTCCTGTTCCTGAGAAGTTACATGACAGAACAGTGTACCAACTGGGGTCCCCAGTCTGCAGAGACTCTTCTCTTAATTATGCAGTATCTGTGGACTAATTAGTGTTGCAAATTTCTGGGAGTTTTCCCATTAATTCCCATATATTTCCATTAATTCCCATGGAAAGTTTCCAACTTGGAATATTTTCAGAATTCCCCAGCTTAACTTCCCATTGAATGGAAAGTTTATGGATAGTTTCCAGAATTTTTCTGTCCCTTTCCAACCCTTGGACTAATAAATGTCACATGTTAAATTAGCGATTAGTGAAACTGGCTGGCATGAGAACAGCACACCGAAGGCTTGTGCTAGATTGAGCATGAGACCCTTCTGGTGACCAGAGCTGTGTGATTTTTTTTGTTTTTGTGCTTCACACTTCAGAACCCACCTGATTTTGCTCAAACTCCTCCCTTAAATGGTCTGTTTAATTGGCTGTAATTAACATTGTCATGAAAGTAAATCACTGTTCCTACCTTGGTCTTGGAAAGCTTACCCGTCTCTGAAGGTGAAAGGACTGAGTCTGACCTCTGCCTGTCACCCCCCCAACCTCACTCCAGACATGGAGGCTACATATGCAGAATACAAGGACTGGTCTGACAGAGGTGTCTCGGAAGAGGTTACGCGCCAATACAAGAAGGCTGTCCAGCAGATGGAGAAGAACCGGTCCTTCGAGGAAGCTCTGGTAGGTCCTTCTGCTGAAGTCTCCCATTGCTGATGTGGCTGGCTGTCTCTGCTAAATTAACCGTTTCCAAGTTAAGTGGGTCTGACAGCACCGTATTTCTTAATTTTCACTTTTGGACTTTAAAATGCATTATAGCCAGAAGCTGATAACTGTACACAGATGGCTGCCAATGTGATATTAATGAAAGGAATATCCATCTATCTTTGGACTGATTTATCCTGCTCAGAGTCATGGGGGCCTGCAGTCGATCCCAGGCAGGACAGAGTACTAGGCTGGGATAGACCTTTGCCCAGATGCCAGTTAATTGATGCAACACCATGAATGCTTAATCTGGTTCTGATGTATGTAATTGGGGTGTCTTTTATATAAGATTAATACCCTTGTTGGAATGGGTCCATGTGTATTTGTTAGCACTTAGTTCTGTTGCGTGTGCGTGTGTATCTGTATGTAATGCACTTTAAAAATATTAACTCTGTAATGGGCGTAGTGGGATTTAAATACCTCTATTTTTAAAGTTGGGCTTTATTTGTTTATATAGCAGTGGTAGATAACTTCCCCTCAGGGATTAAATCCACATTGTGCTGTCAGTTTATGGCTGGATTATCTTAATTTGATCTAAATTAATTATTAAAATACCCAGTGAGAAATGGGTTAAATAAGACTAATTAACAGTACAAAGAAATAGCTTTAAAGCCCCATTTCTGCCTTCTTTGGAGTCGGTGGGGGGTGTTTGATTTTTGTCCCTCCCCAGTGTCAGGGTCTTACAGTCTTCCTCTGTTCTTTAACTGAATCTTTGTCTCGGTGCAGCTGGTGGCAGAGACCCCCAAACTGGCTGAGTACCAGGCCTACATCGACTTTGAGCTGAAGGAGGGAGACCCCGCCCGCATTCAGGCCGTCTTCGAGCGGGCGTTGGCCGAGAACTGCCTGGTACCCGACATGTGGGCCAAATACACCCGGTACCTGGTGAGTACCATCCCGCTCGTGCGACTGGATCCGTGGGAAAGTGGCAGAACGGCTATGTCTTTGTACAGGTGCTCGCTTTTGAAATGTGATCCCTGTGCTTTTCAATGCGACAGCTGCGGCACTGACACCATTCAAGTGTGCTGGTGTTAAATCTGAAACGAAAGGTGAATGAATTTGAACCTGGGATGTCAGTTAAGACTCTCTGCTGTCTGGGGGGTGGGTGGGGCACTCTTCTCCAAAGGTGATGCCCTACTCTCCTCTTGTTCTAATTGAAAGTAAAAAGGGAACTTATCTGTCTGGAAAGTTTTCTGCTCTGTCCCTCCCTGTATAAAAGGCAGCATGGCAGGGAAGCTTTCCTTATATAATGCCAGCCAGCTTGGCTTCACTCCCAGGATGCTGTTGTGAGACCAGACTGAAGAGATGCTATCGACTTGCTGTGGGGCAGACAGGATTGAGGGGGGATCTGTGCACCGTCTATAGTTACTAAGGTGTTGTGTCCCCCACACAGGATCGGCAGTTAAAAATACGCTGCATGGTTCTGTCGTGTCATGAGCGGGCGGTCCGGAACTGTCCCTGGACTATGAGCCTGTGGAAAAACTACCTGCTAGCCCTGGAAAGGCATGGAGCGGAGCACCAGACTGTGGCAGGTAAGCACAATCCAGGGGGGGGCGGGGTCAGGGTTTGCAAAGAGAGGAGGGTCTAGGGGAAATTGAGCTTGAGCAGCCTGGTATTTAAGCAATTTCAGCAATTTCTTTTCAGTACATCATGAAAAATAATTACAAATATATGTCCGCCTTACAACATTTAGAATTTTGGGTGTGTGGAGACTGCTTTGTTGCGCGTGATGCTCGGGTAGGGATCCAGAGTTAATGACCCCAGAGGGCAGTATGGGTACAGGTGGACAAAGCTGCCTCTGTGCTTGTCTCTTGCTTTATGGTGATTTGGTAGATGGTTTGTGAGGGTCTGCATGTGTATGTATGCACCCCCTGGTATCCCATCTAGAGTGTACCTCAGCCTCGTGCCCTGTGCCTCCTGGCTTAGGCTCCCGGCCCTGCATAATCTTGACCTGGATAGGAAGATGGAAAGATAATTCAGTGGCCCATTGATGGTGGGGAAACTCTAGGACTGATGTAGTGTTGCATCATGGGATATGTCAACTCTCTGGAGAGTAAAGCACCGTTGCTTCTAAACTCTAAGTTCAGGATACAAAAGAGACTGTTCATGGGGACCTGGTTAGTGGTTTTGTGTTCAAAAACACTGCAAATATCTCTATCCAGTCAGAGCACACTAGGCAAGATAGAGAGATATTTGCATGTTTCCCTCATTAATGCAAACCACACGTGTGTCAGGGTTTCCCAATCCTGGTCTCCATGGAGACTGTCATGTATGCTAACCCTCATTAGTTCAGTCTGCCCTGATTCTCAAGAACTCTTAATGCCTCATGTGTTCACTCCCTTTAATCTGTGTAGATTTTGATTTGACGGGCTGTGACACTTCATTCCAATCATTTAGTTGCCTAAATCGTACTTTGTCATCTAAAGTATTTGCCCCATCTTATTTTTCCACAGTGAATAAACTACATAATTAAATTAATTTAGCCATCTTCTGAGACTACCAGACATGGATGTCGATGTCCGGATCCGTAAACTTCTAGGTCGAATTTAATGAAGAGCTCAATGAAGGCTTCATTTAATTAAGGATTCTGCAGGAACAAAAAGGACTGCAGAGAGCGGGCCCTTGGAGATGGGTGGGGGGGCGTTGTACTGTCAGTCGACCCAGGGAAAATGCAGAAAATAAATGATGGGGCTGCTGAAACCTGCACTGATTGCCCAAAGTGCCATGTCGTTAGCGTTTGCTCTGGCAGGTGCTACTGGATGTAGGGTCTGCCAAGTCTGCCGGCAAGTTGGACAGGGTCTGAAAACAGGGCTGAGCACCCAAACAGCCATGTCAGAGTTGTACATGGTGTTCTATGTGTCATTGTGTGCGTGTACATGCTTGGAAAATCATTTTTGCACCCATTTCTGCTTCCTCTGTTACATTGACTTCTTTGTTAGTATCTGAAATAACGCCATAACAGGTGTTTACCTCGTGTGTGTGTGTGTGTGTGACCACTCAATGGGACACCCATCCTGTCGCTGTCATATTTTGTGTAGGATGGCTGTTTATTGCAAGGTGCCTCAAATAGAACCTTCTGGAACCCTTATTTGTTTCCCCAGAGGTCTTTGAGAAGGCCCTGAATGCAGGGTTCATTCAGGCGACCGATTACGTGGACATCTGGCAGGCATACCTGGATTACCTGAGAAGACGTGTGGATTTCACTAAAGGTGAGGAAGGTCCACGCTGCTGTAGAGCAACTGGGGGACGTGTCACCCTTTGGTGCCTTTGTTCACTTGAGGGTCTCTTCTGTTTTAGAATCCAGCAAAGAGCTTGAGGAGCTGCGAGCAGCTTTCACCCGAGCTCTGGACTACATGAAGCAGGACGTGGAAGAGCGTACGTGTCTCCAGTTATCAAGGGCAGGTTGCTGTCATCTGTGGCTGCTTAGGTTTTTGTTCTAGTGGCCACATCCTCTCCTCAGAGGACAAAGCAAAATGTTCTTTTGATAAATACACCCAGTCATGGGTGGCATGATCTGGTTCTGTTAATCATTAGCAGAAACCGAAGCGTACAAAGTAGTCAGTGAGAAGTGGGTTAAACCCGTGGATAAGTTACATTGTCTGATTTTACTTGAAATTTATTCTGTCCTAAAGACTTGATGTGCTTTTGTTGTCTTGAATGCCGTGAACAAAAAAATGTCCCCCCCCCCCAATCCCTTTCCCAGGGTTTAGTGAAAGTGGGGACCCCTCCTGTACCATAATGCAGATCTGGGCACGGATAGAGGTGAGTGCGCCCCCTTGAGGCTCAAGGAGGAATTTACTCATTTGGTTAGGGAAAGATATTGTCTGTGCCTCCCAAGCTGGGTAGTGGTTTGTTGGTTTTTAAATTTAGCACAGGGGACCAGTGGGGACCAGTAGTCCCTCGGTGTGGATGTTAAAGGTGACGGCTTGTGAGTCACATTGATGTTGCTGGGAAAATAAGTTGGTGATTTAAGCAGTAAAATAGAATGAAAATGTAAGATTGTTGCTGATTGATGGGTAATCTGGACTTGTAGGTGTGGGAACTGGAGCAGAATCTGAATTGTTGGGTATATCAGCAGCCTGTGATGCATGCCATTATGGGTAGCTTAATGGGTAGACTGGTGCAATCTACTGTTACCAGGCCTTGCACTGCCGGAACATGCAGAAAGCCCGGGAACTGTGGGATACCATCATGACGAAAGGGAACGCCAAATACGCTAACATGTGGCTGGAGTATTTCAACCTGGAGCGGTAAGAGCGGCTTCTGGGAAGCCTGCTGGTGGGGGTGGGGGAGGGGGATACACAGCGGAGTCTGGAAATAATGCATGTCTCATCGGCAGGTCTTACGGTGACGTGGTTCACTGCAGGAAGGCTTTGCACCGGGCAGTCCAGTGCACTGCAGACTACCCTGAGCATGTGTGTGAGGTTCTGCTCACATTTGAGAGGGTGGAAGGTGAGTTAACCAGTGTGTGTATGGTGATGGTGGTGATGATGATGATGATGATGATGATTCTTCCTCTCTCTGCTCTGCCCTCAGGCACCCTGGAGGACTGGGATGTAGCAGTGCAGAAGACAGAGACCCGACTGGCCAGACTCCAGGAGCAGCGGAACAAGGTGAGGACCCCCCCCCAACACCATAACCCCTGACCTTGGTGACCCGCCGCAGCCCCCGTGTGACACCCTCTCGTCTTGCAGGCGGCTGAGAAGGAAGCCCTGCTGGCCCATCAGGAGGTGGGGCGGGTGGAACAGCGTAAGAAGGCCAAGGCCGAGAAGAAGGCCCATAAGAAGGCGCAGAGGGCCGGCCGGGCAGGGGAGAAGAGGAAGGCGACGGAGCAAGAGGAGGAGGAAGGGGAGGACTGGGGGGAGCAGTCAGGTGAATATCGGTGCACAATGGGAGACCCCAGTTAACTGTTAGGTCACGTTTGAGCCTTTTAGCTGGTTGTGTTCTCAAAGTTCCTACAGTTCCGTCCTTTTCTGCAAATTTGATCTATTTTCTGAAATATTTTTAAAGCATGCTATTCCAGGTGAGTACCTTAGGTATGTAGGCAAGTTCCGCTCCTGGCCGCCTACATCCTCCGTGTCTTTAATCATTATGCCTCCGTGTTACTAACCCTGTCCAAGTGGCTGTGAAGCAAGATATCTGTCTCCACTTCTATTCGTCCTCCGGATATCGCACGCCAAAAACAGCCTCTACCTGATGTCTGGTTTCAGAACATCCTGTGAAGAAACATAGAGGGGAGGGTGCCCCCGGCGTGAGCGAGGCGGAGGAGTTCATGGAGACGGAGGCTGGGCTCCCGGGACTAACAGCGAAGAAACTGACGGCCCCCTCTGGCAACAAGAAAGAGGCGAGGGAGGTGGCAGAAGCTGCCCGCAGGGTGCAGAATGCCACGCAGGAGCAGCGGGACGACCAGACGAGCGTCTTCGTCAGCAACCTTGCCTTCACCTTGGAGGAGCCGGAGACGAAGCTGAGGGAACTGTTCCAGAGCTGCGGCTCGATCCAGCAGGTCCGGGCCATCTACAGCAACAAGGGAACCTTCCGAGGATACTGCTATGTACAGTTTGAGGACCAGGCATCAGTCTCCCTGGCGCTGAAGCTGGATCGGCAGGACGTGGAGGGCAGGCCCATGTTCGTTTCCCCTTGTGTGGATAAGAACAAGAACCCCAACTTCAAGGTGACTGCAGGGCTTGCGGAGGATGCCTTGGGGTGGGAGCAGCTGGTCTGGAAGCTCTTGATTCTACCCATTCTTTCCTTTTAGGTTTTCAAGTATAGCACAGCTCTGGAGAAACATAAGATCTTTGTTTCCGGTCTTCCGTTCGGCTGCACCAAGGAGCAGTTGGAGGAGGTGTGCAAAGAGCACGGCACAGTCAAGGATGTCCGCCTGGTCACCAACCGGTCTGGGAAGCCCAAGGTCAGAACCAGCTTAGTCATTAAGGTTAAAACTGTGATGCACTAATGCGGGGTGCTTGAGAGCCATATCATATAATTACAATATAATCAAAAGGCCATAAATCATGTCTTCAGCACCTTAATTATTTGGATCTGTTGTGCTGAAGGTGAGTTATCTGTATGGTCAGTCCGACTGACCCAAGCATGGCGGCCAGACTAAGGTGCTGTCATCTCTCACCCAGGGCCTGGCATATGTGGAGTTTGAAGACGAGGCACAGGCATCAACCGCTGTAGTGAAGATGGACGGGATAGACTTCCAGGGCCACACCTTGACAGTGGCTATCAGCAACCCGCCCCGCCGGAACGTGGCTGAGAAGTCAGACCTGAGCAAAGGCCTGGGCTCTATGATGCCACGCCAAGTCTATGGATCGTAAGTGTGTCTGTGTGACAGAGAGAGAGCGAGCGTGAGAAGTAAGGGGTCATGCTTGTGTTTGTGGGATGATGCTGATCCATAGATCTGAGTAATTTCTGCTTTCTTTGCTTGATAATCTGTTACAAATGAGTCCCACTAGTGTGGGAGAAGATGGTGCCTTTATGTGATGAGTGGTGGAAAAAGTACTCTGTTTTCATAAAGTAAGTACTGATACCACACCAAAATACTACTCGAGTAAAAATAAATAAATAAATAAATAAATAAAAATACATAGTACTTAAGTATACAGTACATTCGAATCAAATCTTACAAAATGCAACCTAGTCTGTTAAATTTACTTTACAGATTTGAATATAGCATTATCAATTACAGTGCAGCACAATTAAACTGAGTCGTATAACTGTTTTTTTTAAGAAAAAGCCTTGAAGCTTAAGTTTGATGGCACAGATTAGTGAAATGACTTTTATTCTGTGGAAAATGAAAGATGGATCTACAGTCCACAATCAATAATGAATTATAAACATTACTTAACTGGCGTATGAGCACCACTACGAAAATGGCTGATCGTCCAATGCAATCATCTCCATTATTTCAGTGGTAGTTCTAGTGCTGCTGACTTTGAAAAAGTCAGCAGCACTAGATATTTAAAAGTTTAAATATCGAATGGCAATTTCGGTATATTAACCAATATATCGTGCATCTCTAAACATAAAGAGATATATATCCCACAAGAATTTTTCACATTTTTAATTGTGCAGCCCTACAAGGTATGCTGCATGCATACCCAGAATGGTTACCCAGAATGTATTGTAATCAAGTTATTTGAAATGAAAGCAAAAGTTGCAACAATTATAAAATAAAGTACAGATTCATAAAAAGCCTTTCATTTGTACTTTACTTTTAATACCACCTCTTTGTTTTGTAGGAGGGGGAAGGGCCGCACCCAGCTGTCCATGCTCCCACGTGCTCTGAACCGGCAAGCAGTTCCGGAGCTTAAGGTGGAGAATGGAACTGTGCAGAATGCGGAGGCAGCGGGCGAGTCCGGGTTGGAAACGCAGGGCAAACCTCTGTCAAACGCCGATTTCGCTAGGCTCCTGCTCAAAAAATGACCTGTTCTGATTTGTGGAGAGAGAGAGAGAAGGAAATAACTGCCTTTTTAATGGAAACCATTTTGTGTCCTTAAAAGAAAAATAATTAAAAAAAAAAAATGTAATTTAGTTGTAAATATTTGAATCCCCCCACCCTTTATGTGGCCTATCCTATAAGCAAACGCCTTAATTAACCAGGGCTCCTTCCTTGCCCCCCCCCCACCTCCCCCCCAGAAGTATGAGAATCAGCCACTTCTTTTGGATGTTGGTCTGGCTGAGGAAATAGTTTTTTGTTTTAATTGCTGGTTTTATTAAAATTATTTTAAAGCGTGCATATAATGTGCCACACCTCAGTTGTTTAAGATGGGTTGTGTTCTCCAGGATTGAAGACTGAAAGGCTTGGATAGGATGCCTGTAGAGGCTTTGGGGTTTTTCTCCTGTTATTTTGAGGTGTAAATCTACTCCTGTGGATTGTTTTTGCTTAAAGGATATATGCAAGAACTTCATTTTTATTGAGAATATAAATGTATTATAAAGTGTATAGAAGAATGATGATGGTGAGGCATCTTTTACACTTGGTCTAAATATGGTCCAAGTTGTGTAGAACACTCTGGTGCACCTGTTTTGCTTTAGGCTTGGAGGCTGGCAGGTTTGGGCCAGTGCTGGATGTAAAGGCAGCTTCCGGTACCCTCCTGTCCATTTTGCAGAAGCTAACTGGACTGCCCTCACAGAAACTTAGCAGCAGCGATCCCAGCTGACTCATAGCCTCTCCTGAGCCCACAAAATAAGATTTTGATTCTTTGAGATGTGTCAGAGTGCAGTGAGAACACGGCTGTTGTATAGTGGAGGCTCTGCACGTTAACTTTGTTACTGATAGTGGGTGTTCAGATTGCGTGTGTGTGTTAAATCCCAGAAGTCTGCATGTAAAGGCTGATAATGACCATCTCTCATATTGAGGGCGTTTACATTGAAAAGTAAAAAGCAGGAATCATGATTACAAGCCCCGCCCCCTTTTCCCTCCCATTCTCAGCACGCGTTCTTGTAAGCGTCACCTACCTGTTAATCCCAGACTCCTCCAGATTTTTAAATTATTTTTGCCGCCATTTCTGCATTGCATGTAATTCTGCCTTACGCGTAGGCCTCACAGTAATAGTTACGCGTAGGCCTCACAGTACGCGTAGGCCTCACAGTACGCGTAGGCCTCACAGTACGCGTAGGCCTCACAGTACGCGTAGGCCTCACAGTACGCGTAGGCCTCACAGTAATAGCCATAAACGGATGGATGGGTTGTAGTTAACACTGTGAAACCGACACATTTCGGAGGCATCGCTGGGGACGAAGCAAAGGTGTGATGGTGATTTATTTTTTATGTTGAAAGTCGAGTTCCTCAGCTACCATTCCCGCACCCAAACCCTCGTGGAAATCTATGCAGCTGTATATCGCAAACAAGACCCTTCTGCGTGCTGATCCTTCTCTAACTGTACAGAAAATCGCTCTATCCGTGACTGTGAGTTATAACTGTATGCTTGAGCTGTCTACCTGTAGTGTGGAGTCCCCAATTTCTCTGATGTAAGGACCTGAAAGCGGTGAATGCGTGCATAGGTTTTGAACACATGGACAACAATTCTTTTGTGTATGTATATATATTTTTTGATTTTCACAGAACTATCTGAAACTTATTTTGTGTTTGTGGTCACCCAGGCAATTCCTTCTATACTAGTATCACCAGTGAGCCTTTCATCATTTTAAAGGAGACATTTTTTTGTGGTCAGGTGTTAAGTGTTCACATCCCAAGTGATTGGCCATAGTTTTCTATAGCATTTGTATGTTTTAAGAGAGAAAAAGGACATTTAGCTAAATCTAGTGATGTATCACCACAGTGGCCTATTTTAGTAAAGAGAAAGTGTTTTAAAGTTATTTGATGTCCATTATTAAAAAAAAAAAAAGATTAAATTGTACAAAATTTAAAAGTTTATTTTTCGTTAATATGTTGGGTAAATTGGTCTTTGAATGCTTGAACATACTGGAAGCTTTCATTTACCAAAATGTTTTTTTGTGTGTTTGAGAAGTTGTACAAGGACCATGTGTGTAATTTCCTGCTGTTTTTCTAGCAATTTATCCTTTTTGTTGATCTATAACTGTATAATTTTTTTTGCGCCTAAATGCTTCATTAAAAGCAATTAAATGTTTACTTGTTTAAATGTCCTATTGGGGGGGGGGTACAAATGATCAGGCATGTGTACTTGTCTGGAGGATTGTAGGTTCAAATCCCACAGTTGCAGAATAATCCTATCACTTGAACAAGGCCCATACTCTTAACTGCTCCAGGGATTCTACTTTTTAACCTTAAACTTTCCTGATGTGTCCATCACTTTGAGTGTGCCAAATAAAACTACCATGCTGTCCACCACTGGAATCCTCAAAAAGGGGGTTAAGGACAAATAACCACAAAGACAATCTGCCCTCCTTTGGCATTTAATTTTTAATTTTGTAATAAATAAGCTTTTAAATAGTATGAAAGTGCTGTTGTGTAATCGCCACAGACTGTATCTGAGCATATGAGGCATGTTAATATCCACAGCAACTCAAAAGCCATTAGGAGTCTCTCACTTCAGCTGATTATGACAAATAAGACTTTGTCGACCTTCTGATGCACTGATGAGCAGTAACAGTACATCTCATGGAATGTAAGGACACTAACCCCCCCTGCCCCCAAGCAACAAGCATGTACTTCAGAACCATAATCTTAATATACCAAATACTGGGAACATAAGATCAATCTTATCTGGGAAGATTTTATCTTAATAAAAGGTAAATTTATTAATTCCTTAGAATTCTTCAGTAGTACACCTACTTTTAGATCACATAATCTGCTGAATACCCCATGTGCAAATAGCCTAATTAACAGGCCTAATTAATTTCCACACATGCTGGTTGCAGTGGCACCTCAAAAGAGGCATTATACAGCAGAAGTATGGTCTGTCCAAATGCATATAGTTGATGTATGTACATAACTATGAATGCTATGTCCATCTAAGGTCACCTAACTTACATTCAGGGAGCCAATACCCACTCTCAAAAATATAGGGGCTGAAAGCAGGAGGCTTGAGCAAGAGGGTTGACAGGAAGCTCAGTTATGCACAGGGATGGTGTTCTCACAGTCAGTGCGTGGCTGATGCCCTGCCCCTGGCAGCCCCACTGCGTGTTCTGTGCTGGCGATGAGCAGTGTGTCCAGGGTGATCTCTGTGCATTTGGCGACAAAGCGGATGAAGGGCCGTACATCACCCTCATTGGCCGTGTCCAGTGCGCCGTAGTACTCTGCTCTCTGCTCCTTGCGGATGGTGATGGGCGGGTATCGCGCCTGCATCAGCACCAGGTTCATGAGCAGCCGGGATGTGCGCCCATTGCCGTCAGAGAAGGGGTGCACATACACCAGCTTGTAGTGGGCCAGGGCAGCAAATTCCACTGGATGCAAGCTGAATGCCTCCTCCGAGTTGAGCCACTGCACGAGCTCAGTCATGTGTCGCTCCAGGTCCCGGGGGTGTGGTGGGATGTGGTGGCCCACAAACACCTGCGTGGCCCTCAGCCGGCCTGCCTCCACGGGGTCAGCATGGCCCAGCACTCGCCGGTGGATTTCCAGAATATCGTTGATGGTGACAGATCCCACGCGCGACAGCAAGGTGCTGTTGATGTATGTCATGGCAGAGTCCACGCCGATTACCTCATTCTGCTCCTGCAGGCTCTTTCCAGGCACAGCATAGCGTGTGTCGATGATATGCCGGATCTCTGACAGCGTCAGTGTGTTGCCCTCGATAGCCACTGTATGGTAGATGTGGTGATAATAGGTCTCCTCCATCACACGCCGCAGGGCAGAGTTGCCCTTAGGAATAGACATCAACCGGCGCACCTTGCTATCAATGACACTAAAGTAGCGCTGGTCCAATTCGGCCACTAGGGGCAACGTTCGGTCCCGGCTCACAAGAGCCTTCTCGTTGCAAGGGGAGATGGCAAGAGCCTTGGAATAGAGATGGTCTGCCTGGATAACATCCTTCTCCTCCTCCAGGATGGTCCCCAGCTCTGTCAGAGCTTCCACAAAGTCTGGGTTCATATTAAGCGCATGCACCAGCAGTTTCTGGGCCTTTTCTCGTTTCCCCTGCTTCTTCATCTCCAGGGCCTGCTGCAGAGCTGCCTTGGCCTCAAACTTGTTCTCTGCAACACATTATAGATTGCTCAATGGCCCACTATTCTCTTCAAACACATTTTTTTTGTCAACGATGAGGTTATCTAAAGCTTATCTCCAGGAACAAGTGTAAAACTACATATTAGCCTGACACAGTAAACCAGATGTGGGGCTACAGATTCTGCATTGTGACTGATGCTATCATGATAAAATATGATGTAATGTTAAGTTCTGTTTAAAATGTACTGTTCCAGAAGGCCCAGAAGCATGTAACCCTCTCTGGCTCGAATTCTGCAATCTCACCTGGACTGGGTTTGGGCTTGAGGGGTAGGAGGTCAAAGACAGTGCTAGGAACAGTGAGACTGGTGGAGTGGGAGCTGTGCTGGATCACCCCGCCCCACAACTGGCAGCGCAGCAGGGCCAGGCCTTTCAGCGTGCCACAGCACTGCTCCTCCACCCCAACCAGGGGCAGCAGCAGGGCTAGCAGGGAGCCCAGGAGCAGGCATAGCAAAGGCCCCCAGCCACATAGCGCCCGGCCGCTGGTGTATCGCCACACCTCCAGTGCCGTGATCAGGCCCATCCTCCTCCTCCTTCTCCTCTTTGTGTTGGTGACATACCCGTCACCATGCTCTGGTTCAGCCTCTGCAGCTGTGTTCAAGAGTATGAAAGTAAAGCTGGATGATTCAAAAGTTATAAATTTCACCTGTAGTCCTTAATTATTAAAAGATCTTGACAAACCAGTGGAAAACCTGTCTATCTCTTTATAACAATCATACTTGGTATGTATATAAATCTCCAGTATAGTAGAATGACATTCCTAGCATACAGATCCCCGATGTGTAAGTGCTGTATCTATCGACATTTATGGGTAATTTAACAGCTGTACAAACGGAGAACTCATTCCTGTCTTCTGTGGATTTCATGTCGCCTATTTACATACCCTATAAATGTCTCCCTGATGAACAAATATTGTTTTCAATCACGCAATGGAAGACATGATAACTACGATTAGCTGAGTTTAAAAGAGCCGACAGATTAAAAATATGTCATCATACAGGTATGCCTCAAAAGCGTAAAGTTGCACTTCCGGTAAAGAGAAAATGCTAGAATAACAATTTACGACAAAAATTAAGAGTGTAACGTTACCTGTAATATTTAGATAAATTCGTGGCAAATACAAGGAGACTATCCTTTTATCCACTTGTACTCATACCCTTCGTTTCCTAATGAGATACTTCATCGCTTGAACACCAATAACCAACAGTCCAGTGCACAAAAAAGTGACCCACTTCTCTCAGCGCCGCCGATTGGTCCTCTGTTTCTTGTATCCTCTTTCTTATTGGCTTACAAATGCCGTTTGGCCAAGGATAGGAGCAATAGATGTGCCGGTTCGTAGTTGACACCGATTGGACAAAAAGTATGAGTGACGTAAGTTATTATTTTAAAAGCTTCCTTCCCTTTAAACCGGAATAGAAATGACGTTGTTAGAACGTGACCACGATGTCTTTTCGCTGTGGAATTTTCCGATAGAGGGTTCATGATTCGTATACTTATGATGTGGTATAACGTCATAGACCTACATTTCAAGCAATATTATTCAGAGAAGACTGTTTGCCCTAAAGCAGAAACATACTCTTTTCATGTGATATTTTATGTGAGGACATACTTAATACTACTATTTTGGAGTAGGTAAAACGCTATGCTTAAAAGGGGGCTAAACCTTTTTATCGATCCAATTAAAACAGACCAAATTTAGTGACACTTTAAAATGAATGCGGGATCACCACAGTAACGAAGGAGCGGTATTTCTTTATTTTACATAACATCAATGCGGACACGAAGCATCAGGTAGCTAATAGTCATGATTATAATCATTTAGGGTTCTTCCTAAAAGCAATTTACCAAAATACTCGCAATGCCATGTTATACAAAACTAGCATTTAAGGCGTGCATTTTAATGGATTTAACTTCAGTCAGTATCAACCCATGAAACATCAGGGGGCAGCAAAGTCAAGTTGTTTTTTCACCGCTTTGCATATCTTGGTCTGTTTGGTCTGTTCTTGTCATAATGAAAATCATAGTCTCCCAGCCGCTTATCCTGAGGAGTCCTGGAGGCTGTTCCAGTGAGCTTAGTGCACAAAGGAGAGTAATAAGAACAACAACAGCAGCAGTAATGTCTCGTACTAAGACAACCACCACCGCTCCATTGCTTTTGGAACAGTGTTTCATCACGTGGTTCCCACAGCACAGGACTTTGTTTTTGGGACTATTGAAACACACAAGCCTTTCTCTCAGACCTTATTAGGGCAATACCTAACTCAGAATTTTAACAGTCAAATATTCGACTATCTGTTTATTTTTATTTTTTTCCCCATAGAGATAATCCATTATTAGCATTAGTTTCAGTGATGATATGACGACCCAGCGCTGCGGCTCGCTGTTTGTTATTCCTGTGTTTATGGATTTGTCGGAATGATACATCAGCACTTGTATTTTTGTTTAGAATGTGAAATAAAGTAGGTTGTAAGAGTTTGACATTAAAAATAAACTGAAAATGGATAAACAAATGAATCTGTTCACAGTATTGCAAAACTGACTCTTCGACAGCCTTTTTCTCTGTAAATATTAAAAACTAGTAAATGAATCTAAAATAAATTAACTGATTATTTAAGAATGGAATTATAGATGAAAATAAAAACAGTAAGCCTGAAAATAAAAAACATGGCATTGTCTACTTTGAAATAACATCATCTTCAACAGGATAGGCTTATTAGGCTATTGTATTTCTCTTTAAATATTAATGTTAAGTGTAAACGAATAAACAAATTAAAACACTTGCAGTTTTAAATATTTAATATAAAGCAAATGTTTTATCTTCAGTCTTTTTCCTGCACAACAAATAGGTCTAAAATGAATGATTACCCTGGCCTGTACAAATTACAAGGCAGATGGGAAAAAAAAAAAACACACACATTGGATTTACTCAGTTCAATGGTGGACATTGGTTGTACTCAGATCATTTGGTTTGGCAGCAATTTACAGAATTGTGTTAACACAATGTGTTTATGTTCAATCAACACAAGTACATTATTTAGAAACAAATTTATTAAATTTGCTTCAGTTAAGTAAATTAAACTCCTTGATCATTGTACTCTAACACAATTTGATCAGTTTGTTCCAACATAATTAAATCCCTTGTATTCCAACACTATTAACTCTAGCAGTGTTTTTTCCATCAGTTACATAATTTAATTACCTTAAATTTCATAAATTTAAGGTAGCCTAATTATATTTAAATAACAGTAAATAAGAAATTCTGCAGTTTTTCACTTAAACTTTCCTTAATCATTCTAAACAGTATCCACTAATCCCCCCATCGACAACAATGGAACATTTTTGTACCAAAACCTTTATTCCAGAATCTGGATGAACAACAGGTGTCCCTACTTTGCATGTGCCAACTTAAAATGTCACATATAAAGTAGATTCAACAAGAAAAATGGCCTTGTGTTTATATCTCACAGAATTTTGTTACCAAAAACAGATCAATACAAACATACAAAGAAGGCAAGGACCTTTACAAAGAAAGGCTGCATTATATAAGAAATTTAATGCCACATTCAGAGCAATATTCTGGTCCGAAATGCAGCACCATTCACTATAAAAGAGTAATGCAAACAAATAAAGATTAATGGCTCTTAAGGAAATCATTAACAATGTAATTGACCCAGAGAATAAATAAATATTCTCACCACAAAAACCTGAACCCAGTAAAAGCACTTGCAATCTGCAGCAAAATATAAAAGAGCAACAGAAAAAGGCAGCACCAAACATACTCTCTCTCACACACACACACACACACACACACCTGCATTTGTATGTTTAAATTTTGTCTGGAGACACTTCTAATCCTGTTATTAACAGAAAAGATACTCACCATAGAACTTGCATTATGTACATCACAGAGGATGCACTATGTACATCAGACAGCAGTCTGCAGCCAAAACAAGAGCAATGGCATTAAAAAACACAATTCTACAATCCAAAACTGCAACGCACAATAGTAACATAAAGAACAGTGTATAAACTAGGTATGTGTCACATTTTTTCAAATACTCATGCAAAACTGATGATCTGGCTCACCATCAATTTCTAAATTTGAGATTCTGCTTCAATAGTATCTAAACTTTTATATTTTGCACAAAATATTGACCATAAAATTTAGAGATGCACCGATACCGATCGATATTCGGATCAGTATCGGCGCCGATCCAGACCTATTTGACGGATCGAGTATCGGCCATGCGTCCTATACTTACTTATTTAGTTTTTGGCAATCAATCGCACGACAGCTCTTACCCATTTTACATGTGTGAGTACAGTGACTTCCGCCTGCTCGACGTCATGCACATAACCTTCGCAGTACGAGGAGCATAAGATGACGTGACGACCTGGGAATATTTTACGCTTTTAACTGAAACCAGTAGCAGAGCGATTTGCAATCTATGTAAAATAAAGTTTTAAGGTGGGAATAGCGTTTAATGGATAATCCCATTTAGCAAAGCGCAGGCAACTGCGAGACAAAACAAAGCAATAGATGATTTGGAAGTCGCTAACTTAATTGGACTGTTTTGCGAACTCGCTGCAGTTTGTGATACAAGAGGGACTGCCATCGCAACAAAAGTGTAACTACGCTGACGTCAATGGGAGAAAAACTGTGTTAAAATTTTAAGCATTCGCCACCTGTGTATACTTGCTTTGAAAATATATTCATATTGGACTGCAAATGCCTCAAAAACGCTTAAAACAAACGAGGTGGAACAGCACGTTATGTATGTTTGTAGTATCCTGATTAAATATTTTTGTCATACGTTTTTCCATCTGTATTTACTAGCTTAAAAAAAATTAATATATAAAGTATAACAAAGTAAAAAGAGCTCTTGTATCGGAATCTGTATCGGTATCGGCAGTTGTGTATCGGAATCGGTTCGGAGCTGAAAAAATGTGGATCGCCCATCTCTAATAAAATTATTATTATTAGTTTACCCGCAGCAAGTTTGCTTTTGTTAGCATCATTCATGGTGACTATGCTGTTCGTGTTAACACATGCACATTTATCAAAAACAAAACAAAACTGATTTTACTATAAAAACAAAATGTAATACATTACACTAAATGTAGGAGGCACAATCCAAATGCAACATTAAGTGCAGGAGTGAAGTGCATTGCTAGGACAGTTCGTATCAAGCTCCAAGAAGCAGGACAAGTCCCATAAAACAAGGAAGAAGCCCTTCACCAATGAGAAGCAGGGAAGAGCCAGGCTGAAGATTACAAATATATATATACTAGGGGTGTAAATCACAGCTTTCCTCACGATACGATACAATATCGATTCCTTTAGCCAACGGTTAGATTTTTTTTGATACCTCAGAAATTCCCACAATATTACCTCTCTCAATATTGGAACTTCACGAGGCACTACAATGTATGCCTAACGGGAAAGCCCCAGGTCCAGATGGATTTCCAGCAGAATTCTACAAAACATTTTGGCCTCTGCTAGCACCACTATTCCATAGAATGGTTATAGAAATTAAAGAAACTAGCAGCATCCCCCCAAATATGAATTGTGCAGACATTAACCTGCTCCTCAAACCTGACAAAGATCCTGCTCTCCCCTCTAGCTACCGACCAATATCACTCATAAATGCGGACCTTAAAAGCACTGACTAGTAGAATTGAAAAAGTGACACCTTATATAATACATCCAGATCAAACGGGTTTCATTAAAGGCAGACAGTCCACTAACAACATGAGGAGACTAATTGGCGTAATAGACTACTGCAACATTCAAAATAAGGAAGCCATAATCATGTCATTGGACGCAGAAAAGGCTTTTGACAGGGTCAACTGGAAATTTCTTGCCTAGTGCCCCTTCTGAGAGTGAAGCTTGGGGAGAT